AAAAAATCCAAAAGTTCTCTTAATTTACTGTAAATCTCTTGGAGCAGGGGCAAAATAAAATGTAAAGCATGTTTATTTTTATTTTAATAAAAAAAAAAACCTCGGCAAACAAACACCCTGTTTGCTCTTTGTGTGTTTTGCGGACTCTGATGTGAGGACGGGAGCTGTGGCCTATTTTCACGATGTTGTATCAAAGAACATCTTCCCCATTATAGCGTGTCTGAGTGTGTACGCGCGCGTGTGTTAATTAGGCATCACACCTCGCTGCTAACGCATTAATTGAAAGCCAGCGATGCCTGTGACGTCATCCTCGCTTTCTCGCTAAAAGCCAATTAAAAAAACCCCACACACAACAAAGAGTTTATGAAAAAATATTGAAAACCTTTTTTTCTTTTTTTTAATTTACAGTGTAATGTTAAAAAGAGATGCAATGTTATGAATTTGGATAATTATGTGACTATTCTATTATTTCACAAAATGATCTAGAAATATAAGAATGAGTAATTATTAAAATGATGACAGCAAAACTCCATAAATAAATAAATCAGTGGAGGATGTCACACACAGGCTGTATCTTCTATTATTTTAAATAATAAAAACGCCTGATGTTAATGGTTCTAAATAATAATTAAATAAATACCACACATTCAACAGTGCCTTTATATTTTTTTTCCCTTATATTTTTTAAGCCTTTAACCTTCTTGTAAAGCTTTTGTTTGTTTGTTCTATAGCTGGTAGATTGTAGATATTTACATAAGACTGAAGGGATTTTTCACTTCTTTTAAACAAAAGTCACCAGGAAATATTTTAAGGCTGTGGAAGTTTGCATTAGTAATATTTTAGTAATGTTCAGCCACAGTTTTCGATTTTAACACCAGCTTGAAAATGCTTTCTTTCACAATAATGGATACCAATTTAAGGATGACAATAATTCCATGTAAGACTTGACACACCTTTGTGTTTACCTGCTGTAAGACAAACAAATATGCTTATTTTTCTCTGGATTTCCCTTTAGGACCCTATGAAAGATATTTGTGTGTATGACTCTTCTCAGGGCTATTTTTACATCCTGCTTCCGTCCCCCTCGTAAAGACTTTTACTGTTGTTGTCTTTAGCTCACTGGATGGCCGGCTGTAACGCTTTGTGTTGAATTCCTCAAAGAATACGCTCACATTTCAGTCATATAAAAAACACTTAATAGCTCGGAAAATGTGCTTTCCCAGCAGAATCCCCTGTGAATCTTTAGTCATGCTTTGTTTTTCATATCGTTTTACTGAGGTGTTTTTAACACCATGTGATCAATTAACACTCCAGATATATGACTATTATTATCGTTATTTCCACCTCTGGAATGTGTGCGGTGCAGCAGGCGGAGGAAATTAGCTTTGTCTTGCTGAATTAGCTCTTTAATGCATTTTCCCCTGTCGCTGTTTGTCCTCACAGGTGTATCAGAGGTTGTGTGTGTGTGTGTGTCTGCGCGTTGCTGGAGGAGAGCGGTGTCCGCAGGCCTGAGGGGTTGTCTGTTATCTTTGGTTATCTAGCTGTATGAGTGACGTACATTCTTCATAAAGCTAGATAACCGAAAGTAACAAGAATCCCATTACACGCCTGCACGGGAAAAAGGAAACAACAGAAATGAGACATAAAGAAGCAGCATGGGAGGACGGGAGGTGGACAAAAGATCCTGCTAAGCGATGACGTGAAGGTACGATGCTGTGTTACATAAGGGCTAACGAGAAGGGGGGGTGAGGGGGGTGTTGCGTCTCATGGAGGATCTGGAGGCAAAAAAG